TTGAGAGCTTTCGTATTCGTTACAGAGTTTCATCATCATCTGACGGCAAAGTTCTACAATAGAGTCCCAAGGGATGCGAACGCACGAGTGACCTTGAGCCGACCAATCAGGAAAAATGAGGATTTTTGCATAAAATTTTACGTATATTTACATAAAAAAGCATAAAAAAACATTAAACAGGATATTTTTGTCTAATATGAGATAAAAAATCTCCCAATTATGATGAGGGGTTTCAGGTTTTAAATTAAACCAATTACTATACATATATTCATTTAGATGACTGAAAATAACTTGGTTTTGAGATCCGTTGATAGCTCTGATTCTATTTTTTAGTCTTCCCCAGAAACCTTCGATTGAATTGGTATGAGTACCGGTCCTGGGGTCGACGAAGTCATCCGAATGGTTGACTCGATGATGTATATATCCCAGTTGCGATAATCGGTTGTATCCTGCCCATTCATCTGTGTGAATGGTGGTGCCTGGTAAGACGAGCCGCTGAATAATAGGGAGGAGTGTATCAGCAGTCCTATCTGGAATCAGCTCGATAAATCCTTTGCGAATCTGGGTGTCATAAATTCCCAAAACCCAAACGTCATTTGCTCTAGCACGCCCAGTAATGGCACAGAAACAGGATATTGGTCAAAGACAGTTTCGACTTTTTAAAGAAAGTTCCTAGAAGACAATTACCCGAATGTCACTTACCAGTACGCACACTTACTCGCTTCCTACACTGTGTACATCTGAATACATATCAGTCAGTGACCTGGGTATACGACTGGAGATTCATGGAAGCACCACAACTACATATCCGAGTACGTCCTATCAGTCCATTATCTAAGCAGTACTGGAAAACGTGATCTGGATGGAATTTGCATCTGAGCTTATGAACAGCGTTTATTTTCACGCTAGAATAATGGTAAGTTTCCTCAACCGACGACTGGCGAGCGTTCAAGGTCATTTGAGCGTTCGCACTCCTGGGTTAGAAAACCGTTGAAAAACCTGGGAGTAATCGACAGCTATATCGTCAGGCTAGTTTGGGACCCTTCATCAGTACGCACCCACCACCGGGGTTCGAACCCAGGACCTTTTAGTTTCAAGGAAAGCTCGTAGTCCATTATGTCACTGGGATTCGATCCGATGGCCCATGAATTTCATTGTGTATTGGTTTTTCAATGGTGTAACCCTCACCAACCATACGGATTATCAGCGTTCGATTCCCGACCACTGCACCCGCAAACCTTGCCTACTTTATTATCCCCAGTAGTAACGCTGAAAATATAGGAAAGCTTAGATGTGATGTTAGCCATCCTACTATGTAAAAACGATACTATTTCAGATACTATGTCAGCTCATGATGAAATCCTGTAACCAATCAACCAAATCCCTACAAATCAATACTTCAATATCAATGAGATGCTCACTGGTGACTGGCCCTATTCAGGTAGGTAGTTACCTGGGGTTTCAGTGGGAAGTAGGGTGCAGCAGGTCGGGTGTGAGGACAAAAACTCACTGAAGACATTGGCTAGCGGTTGCGCTATATCGTGAATTAGCAGAAGTTAGAATTCATGCATTGGCCATTGGATCGGGTCCCAGTGGCTTAATGGTATACGAGCTTGCCTTGTAACCGGAAGGTTGTGGGTTCGAACTCTGGCGGTGGGTGCGTACTGCTGAAGAGTCCCAACTAGGACGGAGGAAACAGCTGTCCACTACTCCCAGGTTTTCCAATGGTTCTCTAACCAATGTCAGCTGATGATGAAATCCTGTAACCAATCAACCAAATCCCTACAAACCAATACTTGGACACTATTTCTACCGAAATTTCAAAAACTTGAAGTTCTGTCTTCCATTCAGATCTCACTGGAATCAAACAAAATTCTTATTCAACTTTCAAGTAATTTTATTCCTTTATTATTTTATTGCCTCTTTTTTTAATGGTGTTTTCTGTTCCACACACACGTTTAGTTTCCAAGTGATTTTTTATTTATCTGAGGAAGTAAGTGCACATAAATGAATATTTCCCCTAATCTTTTCACACTATTCTGTTTAATGTCAGGGTTTAAATTCCATTCACTAATGCATATTTGTGATTTTATGTTTGTGTATGTGTACTTTTGTTAGATTGTGAAAGAATTTAATAATCTTTCTAAGAAAGGAAAAAAGGATAAGTGGATAGATAGGTGAGTGGATTTCAGTCACAAATGAAAATCTACTACAGAGGCTTCATTTCAAAGGAAACAAAACAGATGCTAATTTTGATGGATGTGCCTCATTCTAGCCTGACAATAACTCTTTAGTAGTTCAAATTCAGTATCTTAATATCGTGTTTTTTTGGGGGGGTTAGTGGCTGTTAGTGTTATTTACCGAGAGATTTTTGTTCACCTCCGTTAGTGATCTGTCTTCATAAAGTCTTCTAAAGAACCAACTCCACCATCCAGATATTTGTACACCAGTGATTCAGATGTAGAACCCTCAACAATTGTACATGTGATCCCAGGTTCAATCCCTGAAAGATGCATTCCTACACTTTGCTTTATGGGGGAAGTAAGTCAGGGAGAGAGGGAAGGTTAACTGTGAGCCTAACTTAACTCTACTCCGTAATGGAGTATACAGATTGTATCGGCGGTTCAGTGGTGGGATGCTGTCCAACCACGCAGTTGCCTCATGTTTGATTCTCAGCCGTAGCCCTTCCAAGTCTCACTTCGCTGGTAGTAAGCCAACTGAAGGGCAGAAGTCGATCATGAGGCTGGCTACCTAACCTCGTGAAAAAATTTTTAAAAAAACCATCGCTACGGAAGATCCTGAACTCAAAGCTTGAAACTCCTTATGTTCGACTTGGTACTAAGAAGGAATGATAGATATACCATGCAACAAATAAGAGTCAAATAGAAATTTCTTCGTAGAATGCCATTATCAATACTGTTTGACCTCAGTCACCTAGAACAGATTTATCATATTGATTGGTTATGAGAAGGGCTGATGATACTCTCTAGATTTCGAAGCTTAAGTAGATGGAATGGAATTGTTGACGAGTGCAAGTTGAAACGAAACTTAGTTGCAAGAATTCATTCACTTTACAATAACTTTACACAAACCGTAAAATGTACTGAAATTGAACCTTGAAATAAACTTATCGTTTTGAATTTCACTACAAAAGTACATTTGTGAAGAATAGCTCTGAGTATGAGTCGATTGAAACCGTATTCATACTTATTCGCTCAAAAAAATAACAAAAATTCTCTAATACTGTACTGTCCATTTAGATTATTATTTGTTCAATCTCTATACTACTGTAAACATTATTCAATGGTTTCAATAAATTGTACTTGATCTTTTTTGTTTTGTTTAACTGACTCAAATTGATTTTTTCTAACGGTGTGTGTGTGTGTACATGAATACTTTCAAAAATGGCCATGATAATAAAAATTTACTTTGCATGCATAGTTAATTTTGCATACTAATTATGTCTGTATGTGTGTGTGTGTATGTGTTATGTTACACGTTCATTACAAAGTGAAATTTAAGTTTGGACATTTAAAATTCACTTCAGGTTGAAAAATATTCAAATTTACGCTCGATAAAAATTTAAACATTAAAAGAATAATCATATATATCCTCTTTTAACTCTGGGTAAATGAATAATTTGTATATTTCATGGTTTATTGAATACACATGCTCAATTTTAAAATAAGTACACGAGTAAAGTACTTTTCAAATGAACAAAACTATTGGTGTGAAGACTTGAACAATTTTTGTATTCACTTTCCATAACCTTGAAAACTTAGTGCAAGATACCTCACGTAGGATTAAACAAAAGAGGCTTCGGGTGAGAAAGTAGATAGATAAGCAAGTAAGTTGAACAGTTAGTTAGTTAGTTAGTTAGTTAGTTAGTTAGTTAGTTAGTTAGTTAGTTAGTTAGTTAGTTAGTTAGTTAGTTAGTTAGTTAGTTAGATAGATAGATAGATAGATAGATAGTTAGTTAGTTAGTTAGTTAGTTAGTCAGTTAGTTAGTTAGTTAGTTAGTTAGTTAGTCAGTTAGTTAGTTAGTTAGTTAGTTAGTTAGTTAGTTAGTTAGTTAGTTAGTTAGTTAGTTAGTTAGTTAGTTAGTTAGTTAGTTAGTTAGTTAGTTAGTTAGTTAGTTAGTTAGTTAGTTAGTTAGTTAGTTAGTTAGTTAGTTAGTTAGTTAGTTAGTTAGTTAGTTAGTTAGTTAGTTAGTTAGTTAGTTAGTTAGTTAGTTAGTTAGTTAGTTAGTTAGTTAGTTAGTTAGTTAGTTAGTTAGTTAGTTAGTTAGTTAGTTAGTTAGTTAGTTAGTTAGTTAGTTAGTTAGTTAGTTAGTTAGTTAGTTAGTTAGTTAGTTAGTTAGTTAGTTAGTTAGTTAGTTAGTTAGTTAGTTAGTTAGTTAGTTAGTTAGTTAGTTAGTTAGTTAGTTAGTTAGTTAGTTAGTTAGTTAGTTAGTTAGTTACTGACACGCTTCTTTCATGAAATTTTTCCGTGCTGTTTATTTTCACTGACTGAATTAGTGAGAGCGGTGTTCAAACCTATTTCGTAAACTGCAACTTAATCCTGTATGGACTGGTGTAGTCACACTACTTAGGGCATCCAATATAACGCTGAGATATATACGAACCAGAAATCCTACTTAAGTAATTACGATATTGATTAAGGTATGAATAAATATGTAATCCAGGAGGAAACTAAAAAAGTACCATTTAATCCTACTTGTTATACCATGTATTTTGTTGACATGAAGAGTCCCAAACTGGGACGAAACACCTATCGAGTACTGTTCTGTTTGAAATATGGTTCTCCAACTGATATCACCAATCAAATCACTCGAAACCAACACTTAAACATTAAAAATCACTCACAGCAATGAAAACAGAGACACACCTCTTTGTTCTTAGTTAACTGTCGTTTTCAAAACAAGCAACACTTTTGAATTAATCAGTTTTTAATCAAAAGCATTTAAAACAATCATATCAGAAAGGTATACACAAACTTACAATTAACTTTACAATTGAACGTCCTGGTGTTGGCCTTGTTGTAGCAAATCCATACATTAAAAGGAAAATGATATTAATGATAGCAGAGACTGCACCAATTGTTATTAAATACTGGAATCCAACTTCATTGTAACCTCTTCCAGCTAAAGCAATACAGATGATACCGATGATCTATGCATGATGGAAAGAGAAAGAAAGTCACCAAAATAAAAAAATGAAGCAGAATTAATTTAAAGAATTTTTACAGAAGTTCAATGATCAATAGAAACAATTATTGCTGGTGTTGTTGTTGATGTTGTTTTAATGAGTTAATTAACCAGGGATAAATTTATATTTAAGGTGTCATTTCAAACCTGCTATGATGTGATTAGCACGCTCGAAGTAAGAAAATCTTCTTGACTTTTGTTTGGCTTTCCAAAGACATGTGATGTAGAGGAAGCATATGCGCTTCCTTGAGATTGTCCATTGTTCCTACTCGCTGTGAGATTAATCCTTTCAATAAGTTGGCTGGTAGTGTGCTCCAGAAAACTCTGAACGATAATAGTGGTAATGCTACTAGTGACATTTATATCTCGACTCAAAATCACAAAATGAACAGTATCGATTAGACAATGCAATGACTCACACATTGGATAGTCTAGAAATAGACGCATCTGCAGCTCTGATACCCTGGAAGAAGAACTACATTTCTTGAAAGACATCTACATACAAAATGGTTATCCACGAAGATTCATAGACAAAAACATCAAACAGAAAATACAAAGGCAAAAGACGCTATCCGTACAAAAAAATATACTTTATATGAACCTCGACTTCAAAGGTGACGAACTCAGCGATGTCCTTTAGACAAGAACTTCCTTTGTGGCAACACTGAGAGTAGTGTTTTCCAATCACCCGCTGATCTGCAGAAGCCTTTAAGACAAGATCCCGAACCTGACCACTTCTGTGTGTATATATCAGTTCACTTGTTGCTGTGGAGCCAGGTACATCGGTCTTTCGACACGCATCCTGTCAAAAAGGGTCAAAGAACACTATCCAGCGTGGTTGCAGAAAGGAATTAGTGGCCGTATAAGGAGTGCAATAATCGAACATCTCGTCACCACCAGTGAATCCATTTCAACAAACACCTCCTTCAAAGTTATCTACAAAGTGAAGAACAACCTGCAAAAGACAATACGTTTCCGTCTTCTTTGCATTGCAGAATCCCTAGTCATTCAATTAGAAGAACCAGAACTATGCATACAAAAGAAAATTATTCAACCACTTCTAGTATGATGGTAACAACTCTGTTGATTTGACTTAGTTTTTGCTTGTTTGCTAGTTTTTCTAACTACTTAAAACTCTTGCGTAATTCCGTATGTTTGAGTACAACTCTTTCATCAAACTATTCACGTTATTACGTAACTCTTCTCTAACAGTCAGTTGTGATAACTCATCACTTTTGTTACTACCGTCTTATATCAACATCTAATTCATCTGAACTTCCTAATTGTATTTTCGTTTGACAAATTTAATGTACACTCACACACATACAAAACAGCCATATATATTGGCGATTTTTCAGCTATGAAAATGAATTCGCTGCCGACAAGAGACTCTTCGCTGCACTACTGGTCTTCTGTCTATTAATGTTCAAATGGGGATTTTTCATGAACTAAAGTCTAGAAATGGCCACTAAATGGCACTCACTATGTCTAGATAATAAAGTTGTCCAATAAACCTGACAGTGGTGCCTGTTAAACAACTGGTTATTGAGATCCAGCAGTTGAATAGGCCGGTTTTATGAAAGCTGTGGACCCACTGACTTCAGCAAAAGTAAAACCTGTAACCTGCCATGTTATTCACGGTATTGTGAATAAAATACTCACTGAGATACTTCTGGCCTCTTTCACACTACCCCTAAAGGCATACACCAGTTCACATGTACGTGAAAAAGCACATACACTGAACAAACAGAAAAAAATGACTTGTGACAGAATATCAGAGCATATTCCATCCCAAGCAAAATACTAAGCCGCATCATACTGGAGAGAATCAAACATGCCAACCTGGATGAAAAACTTCGACCGGAACAGGCTGGATTCAGGAGAAACAAGTCATGCATTGATCAGACCGCCACACTACGGATCATCATTGAACAGAGCTTGGAATGGCAGTCACCTCTCTATCTCAACTTCATCGACTTTGAAAACGCCTTCGATAGCGTCGATCGAGAGGTGATTTGTAAACTACTTCGCTACTACGGGGTGCCACCGACAATTACACATCTCATCTAACAGCTGTACGACAATGATGCATGCCAAGTAATCCACAACAGTAAAACTCACGGAATCCTTAGAAGTTAAGACAGGAGTAAGACATGGCTGCCTACTATCGCCAATGATTTTCCTGATTGCAGTAGATTGGATGTGACAAAGAGCGGGCAATGAGGAAACAGGCATAAAATGGACTCACACAAAAAACTTGGAGGATCTGGACTTCGCCGATGATATATGTCTGATTTACCACAAACTGGAAGATAAACAGGCGAAAAGCAACAAGTTGGCGAATAAGAAGCATCAAAGGTAGGACTTCAGGTGAACATACAGAAAACAGAGGTGATGAAGATTCCTGACCAACAGGAACAACAACAACAGAAAACGATCAGCATAAATGGAAGGAACCTGAAAGAAACAACCTCCTTTACCTACATGGGAAGCATCGTTTCAACTACAGGCCAACGGAACTGACGAGGATATCAAAGCAAGAATCGATCGGAAAAGCAAGACAAGCTTTCACTACTCTCAAGTCTGTGTGGAGGTCAACAGCACTCAGCATCAAAAATAAGATCCGGATTTTCAACTCCAATGTGAAGTCAGTCAGTGCTACTATAAGGATTAGAGACTTTCACTGAGCGTCATAAACAGTATCTCAAACAAACTACAAAACTTCATTAACAGCTGTCTTCGCTCAGTACTCAAGATCAGATGTCCAGGAAAAACCAGCAACAGATCTCTGGCAATGAGCGGACCAACACAGAAGGAACCGATTGTGAAACAAATAGGCACGAAGAAATGGAGATGGATTGGCTGGCCTATACTCTGAGGAAACAAACCATTAAGTGATATCACTAGACAAGCCATTGCTCGAGTGGAACCCAAATGGAATGGGAAGCGGCGAGTTGGTCGTCAGTGCAAGGTTGACTTTGAGGAGGTCGTGTGAAGAGGAGATGAAAATGTGTGGGCAGACTTGGAGCCAGGTGAAGACTCTAGCAGAGAACCGGACGCAATGGAGACGCACGGTTGAAGCCGTATGTTCCTCTAGGAATTAAAGGAAATGATAATAATAATTCCAAGGAACTTGAGTCTAAAAGGTTCAGAATTCCTTAGTAACATGAATAAACGCCACTTGTTAGATAACAGCCATAAAATTGGCGCATCCTTAAAGATAATTAAAGCTGAAGATAGTTCCAAGTTGCTAGTTATTACTGAAAGACTAGACGGCCAACATCAAATTTTTACATCCAGTAGGAAGCCGTTGTTATTCTGGCTTTCACCTGGTAAATATGCTGCATGCTACTTCTATTAATTTTGTTATTTTAACTAAATTTTGTTTTGACAATGTAATTTCCCACCCTCGATTTTGCCTTTGTCTATATTCTTGACCGGACCCTTTTCTGAACTCTGTTCAACTAAATTATTACATAAACATATTTTTAATTTTACGCCTTTATTCAATTTGTAACATTCGTTCGTATTTCCATCGTATTTCGTAATTACATATATATATATATATATATATATATATATATATTGATTGGACACTAGTCAGTAACTAGTGTATTGTGTCTAGTCCTATCTTTAGTACAGACTGAATTCTATCAGTCAGTCAATGTGGCCACCCTGCCACTAGGTGGCTCGCCATCACAGTGATGCACACTGTGAATTTTTTTGATGTGGTTGTGTTCTCTGAGCTAGCTGGATAGTTAATTTGCGGGATTTGTTGAAAGTTGTTGGTATACATCCTCGTCTTTGAGTAGTTCTTCAGCTTTCTTGGTGTATTCTTCTCTGTCCATGACTACTGTTGTTCTTCCTTTGTCGGCTGGTAGAATGACGATGTAGAGAACACAGAGAACAAAGATGAAGAGTCCTCAAAACCAAGCTAGCCAAGATTACAAAACAACAACCAGACAATACACTTATTGACTACGGAGTCAACCTATCGAAACAACCACTATCAAAAATAGAACAGCAACTGCTACAAAAAGGATTAAACTACAACACAGGAGATGCCTCGAAAATTGATTTCTTCGCTGCCCTTGAATCATTACTCAAATCATCAAACTTGAACGAGGAAACACAGGAAGAGATACGCCAAACAATTATACCAATGGTTAAACAGAAAAAAACAACACACACAACTCAACTCTCAAGAACTAAAGGCCCTCAAAAAGCTGAAAAATAGGAAGGACATCGTCATTCTACCAGCTGACAAAGGAAGAACAACAGTAGTCATGGACAGAGAAGAATACACCAAGAAAGCTGAAGAACTACTCAAAGACGAGGATGTATACCAACAACTTTCAACAAATCCCGCAAATTAACTATCCAGCTCAGAGAACACAACCACATCAAAATCATCCACCTGAGCTACAAATCTTCTCCATCATATCTACACTGTGAATTGTTGATATCAGATGGTTGGAGTCAATCGGCCATAGGAAGCTTTGCCGGGACCTAGGCGTCGTGCTAGTTGGCACTTGTTAGCAAGGCGTATCTGAAACTGCCTTGAAGGAACTCATGTCCCTTCTGAGATTCTAACTCGCCAGCCAGAACAGCTCAGTGGTAACATCTCTGACTGCAGCATCAGGTGGCACGGGTTCAAATTTCAGAAGAGACATGAGTTCCTTCAAGGTTGCAGATACGCCTTGCTGACAAGTGCCAACTAGCAGAACAACTAGGTCTCGGCAAGGCTTCCTGCTGATTGCCACCAACCACATAATATATATATATATATCAATCAAATCCCTACAAACCATTACTTGAAAAAATATATATACATTACTGACGAGCTTAACAACAACTGTCTTTATTCCTTTCCATTACGCTCTTCTATTTAGTCATATGATATGAATATCCTTCACCTTTATGATCGACATTAACTATAGTAGTTCAATATTTTGTACACTGAGA